AAACCCTAAATATTAGGGTTTGGGATTCTGGCATGAACGCCCAGCTTTCGCGAGCTTTGCCCAATAATTACGAAAATACCTTTATGGACCAAGTTGCCACTAATTCTCATATTAAGGGGTTAAATGGTAACTACGTAAATATTTGTATGTTACACTAAGTCCAAAACCTTCGTAACTTCTAACGGTCATAACGTTTTCATTCCAACTCCGTTTTCGATGATCTTTATATCCACGGAAAGATATTTAGGAGCTCTACAACCCTATCTAATTACTTTTGACTTAAAACACATTGAACTAAAGTCCTTAATTCATAAAAGAAGTCAGAAACACCACTTTTCCTATTATACCCTTTGACTCCAAAACACAAAACTGAACTTTTGTATCACATAATCTATATTACCCACATCCAAATGGGTCTAAACCTCTCTTTCCCAAAGCCCAAAGCCTTATTATATTTGATCTTTGGGTCGTGACCCCAAATTATGAAACGAATTGAATCTGGGTGTTACATAATTTTCCTTAAATCAATCGCCTAATACCAAGTCGACTGTGTCGACATTTTATGTCCGAAGGCGATCGCTAACTATAGCTTCTAAATTCTAGAAGTCCAACTGACGAATTCCCAATTTTGAAAGACTTCGCGAGGAGTTTGAGGGTTTGTCTAAGGTTGAAAGCGGAGTTCTACAAGAAATATCGATGCAGCAACGTCGGCTAGATCATAAGTTGATCTCGGTAACTCGGATAAGATTATATCTTGGTGTATTAGGAGTAGGATTTCGGGGACGAAATCTTTGTAAGTGGGGGAGAGTTCTAACACCCCATTATTAGATTTTCATAGAGTTCAATATAAAACGTTGTTTATAAAATTCGAAGTAGAGATATATTACTTTTTATCAAAATTATCGTCATAAACATGTAGGAAACATCAATACGATTTCCATAGATATATAAAACGCTCAAATCCGACTTCGTATGAAGAAGTTATGATTCTTCGAAGTTTCACGATGAAACCGTCACAACTATATGCATCGTAAAATACGAATCAGATATAGATAACTTATTAGCGTTAGTGATCTAAATAAATGTCATATTAGTCATAAAACCGAGAGTGCATGTTAGATATTAAAATATTTGACAGCTGAATTTTTATTTTTGACCTAGCAGTTTTAGGGTTTTTTAGAATTTAAACCCTAGGACTATAAATAGTTTAAATTGTTTTTTATTTTTGTGTGAGCCTCCTTTTTCACTTAGATTTTCTTTTCCATCACACATAGAGAAAGTGAGAGTTCATTTTTGTTTATGTGAGGTTTCTCTATTGTAATCCGATCTGATGATCATATGAATGCAAAAATATTTCACTGATTCCATGTTTATCTGAGATTGATTCATCTACTATTCTTAATTTCCGCATTGTCATCTCATATTGTGTCAATCTGGGTTCCTACAATTGGTATCAGAGTTTGATCTTGAAGAATCGTTCTTTCAAGTTTTAAAGGTCGGAGGTGACATATTTTCGTACTTGAATCTTTCTCACGACTCTGGTGTAATTTCTTCTCTTATCCATTGATTTGCACTCAAAAATTGTTATATCTATATCGGATCTGAAAGATTTATGAAGAAACATTCTACATTTGAAGAGTTTTTGAATACATTTTTCAAGATATGTATTTCTCACATAAGATCTACACTCATTTTCTTTAGAATCCGTTTTTACTGAAGATTCTTGTTCAGATCTAAGTTTTATCATGATTTCAATATGTGGTTATCCACATTTTTATCAAGAAAGTCATCCACATTTTTTTAAAGAGATATGGTATACTGAAAGAGGTACTCATTTCCCTCTCGATGTAGTTTGTAGTGCTATAGATTTATATAGTGCAATGTCGGTGGAATGGATTAATTATGATACAAAGATATTATATGATAAAAATACATTGAATTATCATCCTATACATACTGATGAGTTGTTGATGTCTAATCTAACTGAAATCAAAGATATTGAAGAAAAAGAGAAAGAAGAAGTTGTTAATGTTGCTCCAGCTTCTGAATAAAATTGCCAAGTAAAAATGGTTCAGAAATCCCCAGTAGTAGAGAAAGAGAAAGATGCTGTTGATGATCCTTGTTCTCTGAATGTTCAAGAAGTTTTTCCTGAAACAAAAGAAGATATTGTTAAGGTTATTCATAATTGTGAAGCCTCAAAGAGAAAGCCTCCTGATATTTCATCTAGATCAAGTAGGATGAAACCCTACAGAAAAACAGTGTTTTATGAAGAAAAAGTGTACAAAAAGCCTAACAAATTGGTATCCAGAAGTTGTGAGAACCGTTTCAGGATGCCTTATGTTTCTTCATGGACTGGAAATTCATTATCTAAGGCAAGATACAAGAAGTTCAAAAATAAAAAAGGGTAAACCTAAGCAAATTTGGGTTCTAAAGAAAAAATCTCATGAACCTAAATGTGACTCAAACACAGAGGTCAAAAGAATGAGTTATGAAAAATTAACTGAAAGAAGATATCTGAAGAACAAAAGTGTTAAACCACCTCTGTTTTGGTTGAATGATTTGATGAACGTTTTTCAACTCATTTTCCAGAAGTTACAAGACTCTAATTATTCATATAGTGTTTAATGATGACATTGTTTGGAGTAATCATAACAATGGTGTTTATCAGCTTGATCCAAAGAAAACAATTTTAAGGAGCATCTCTACCGCTTCCAAACAAATGTAGGTTCCTAAGAAAACTTGTTAATTTATGAAGATAAGAGAGAGATAAAGCCAATATGATATATTCATTTCTCTCTCAAAGAAAGATACATTTTTAATATGGTCTGTAATTTAGGGGAGATATTCTGAGACATCAAATTTTATTTACAACATGGTCTCAAATTGGTGAATTATAAGATTCAAAACGTGGGTTATGACTTTTGATTTAATTCACTTCTTTATTTGTGACTATAAAAGAATTGAGAGGGTTAAATGTCTTCCTCTAAAATTTTAGGTATATTGGCAATGGTTCCCCAACAACCATTCCTTCTTTTTTGCTACCGATGGTATAGAGAATCCACCATCCGTATCGTATATGGATTTTATCACCTCATCCTAGGTACTATCAGGATAGTTTTTAAATCTCCACCACCACTTGCCTAATAAAGCTATATTATGTTCCTTTAAACAGCTAATTCGAACCCGCCTCTTTCTTTGTCTGCAAGAATTTTTTCCCAAGCAATCCATGACATCTTTCTTGATTCCAGATCCCCCCCCCCCCAAAGAACCTCATCCTTATCTTTTCGATGGTTTTTATAACCTTGACAGGAGCTTTATACAACGAAAAATAAAAAGGACCCAGACTGCTCAATACTGCTTTACATAGCGTTAAACGACCACCAAACGACAATGTAGATGCTTTCCATTTTGATAGTCTTGCTTGGATTTTTTCTATAGTAGGATTCCAGTGTACTGCTCTTGCCATAGAAGATCCAACTAGTAGTCCTAGGTATATAAACGGGAGGGAACCAACAGAACAATTAAAACTCCGGGCCACCAGATCTAGTTCATAGGTGTGGGTACCAAATCCAAAGAGTTTACTTTTGGACATATTCGCCTTGAGGCCTGATGATAATTCGAAGATCTTAAAATTGTAATCAAGTTCTTTGCATTTTCAATTGACCAAGTACCCATGAAAATAACGTCATCTACGTATTGGAGGTGTGAGACGATCGGACCTTGGTGGGGTAGTTGAATACCTTCAAAATTTCTCTTTTCTTTTGCCATCTCCATCGCTATATGTAATCCTTCTGCCGCTATGATATATAAGAAGGGTGATAGTGGGTCACCTTGTCTGATCCCATGCTCCATACAAAATTTTGTTGTCGCAAAACCATTAATGAGAATCCATACCCTTGCTGACGATAGGGACCCATGTATCCATGTTCGCCATTTAACCCCAAAGTCCATCTGTTGCAGGATTGAGTCTAGATATTCCTAGCTATGACTGTCATAAGCCTTTTCAAAATCAACTTTGAAAATAAAGGACTTCTTCTTGCTCTTCATTATCCATGTGATCACTTCGTTTCGTATAAGAGGTCCGTTAGGGATAAAATGTTTTTTGATAAAAGCAGTATGTATTGAACTAACTACCAAGTGCACCACCTTCTTTAACCTCTCTACCAAAATCTAAGAGATTGTTTTGTATAGGCAACCAATTAAACTGATAGGGCGGAAGTCGCTTACAGTGATCGGGTCTTGTATCTTGGGAATGAGTGAGATAAAAGATTAATTGCAGCCATTGTCGATATATCCGGTAGTTTCAAAATGATTTAGTGCAAAATAGAAGTCACTTACAACCACGTCCCAATGTTTCTTTAACATGGAAAAAGAGAAACCGTCGGGTCCTGGTGCCCTATCCGAACCACAAGCCCAGATATTCGATTTGATTTCATCTAGAGTGAATGGCTCCTTAAGAAACATGGCCATGTTAGGGGGTAATTTCTTGAATTTAGGGCTGATAAAATTAGGCCTTGATCGAATTGGTTCGCTGAATCTTTCAAAGAACTGCTTGATTGCCACTTGCTTAATCTGATCAGGATCATTAATCCAAAACCCATTGACTTCTAGTCCATTTATCCTCTGTGACCTCTGATGTTTGTTGATCAACCCATGGAAAAAACCACTGTTCTCGGCATCGTCTAAGGCGCACCTTGCTATTGATTTTTGTTTTAAGTCATCAATGCGTACAGATTCAATTTCCATGATCTTATTGAATATATATTGATGACTATTTATTAATTCATCATTCACAAGACCCTTCTCAGCTTGTTAATCAATGGAGTTAATTTTGTTGGTGAGATCCTCTATTGTTTTATGTTTTTCATTATGAGTTCTTTCCTCCAATTACAACCGCCCAACTTATCATGAATAGTCCATCCACTCCTTAGTACAAACTCAAAGTCAGGTTCTCTAAACCATGAATTAAACAACCGAAATGGATACAATCCAAAATCTAGCTAATTCGGAGAGAGAACTATAGCACAATGGTCTGAGTGAACTTGTGGCAAGGCGATAACATTTAGATGTGGCCAAGTATCATTAACATTTGTGGAGACTAGATATATGTCCAACTTGTTGTGTTTATCTCCCTTTGAACTCATATATGTAAAGCGACGACCATCCATCTTAATTTCCAACAGACCAGCAAAGTAAATGAACTTACCGAAGAAGTATGCTCCATGTGGGCAGAAAACAGACCCAAGCCTTTCTTCAGGAAAACGGACAACAATAAAATCACCAAACACAAACCACATATATTCAAGATCAGAAGTAATAAGATCATGTAGCTTGTTCCAAAGGATCTTTTTTTCATTAGGATCATGTGAAGCGTAAACATTGACAAACAACATACCTTCTTTGACCATAGCCACAACCCTGTAATAGCAAGGAACCCAGAGCCTTTGATTGCATCCGAAGCTCTGAATAGAGAAGGATCCTAGAGAGAGGCAATTCCACCTGATAAACCCACTGGATCAACAACTTCACATTGGAAGTTAGATGATCCCCAATTATGCTTATCTAAACACCCTTTAACCTCCATTGATTTCGTTTCTTGCAAACCAACAAAAAAGGAATGATTTTGCACATGAGAATCTTTTATTCAACCCATTTTGACTTCACACCTGATTCCACATATATTATTTGGAAAGATATTTATGAAGGGTTTTGAGAACTATAACAATCCTATGGTGCACATACAACCCTAGATGCTTTGGATCTAAGTTTTCTCAAGTTATACATGCAATATCATTTCATCCAAAGCATACACCCTAGCTACCATGCAATTTGATATATACAACATAAAAAACTATTTAGATGAATACCACTTTGTTGTTGTTTGTAGAACCTTGCCTTTCAAGAGCTAAGCACCTCAAATGTGATGCCTCAAATGTGTCACAAACACCAAATGCAAAAGGAGGATTATGAGAGAGGTTAGGAATCACCAAAAATCGACTAGGGTTTGCTTCTAGGAAGAGTTGGCTGATTTTAGGGTGCTTAGGGGTTACTTTTATAGTGTGGAATTCCTAGGGTTTCATACATGTAAACCCTAATTCACCATGACTCTTCATATTTGATGGCCCTTTGGACTAAACCCTAATGGACTCTCATATAGGTCTAGTCCATGCCTAGTCAACATTGATCAATATCCCAAACTATATGTATCACTACCAAATCAGTCCCTGTAAATTTAATCAGTCTCTTTTGATCACTAAATTAATTCCAGATTAATTCTTGATCAATACCAATTAAATAATATGATTTCTCAATTAATATATTATTCATATAATATATTAATAAACCACAAATATCCTCTTCCTAAAATACCCATCCTATCAAATTGCTCCGGTGAAGGCAACCCAAAAGGACCATGCTACTATTGGGTCAAGTACATACCAATTATAGTTATGGGCTTAGACACCTAATCCAGCAGTCTCCCACTTGGATAAGTCTAATAACTATAACTGCCAATGCAACTTCAAAATCCGATCAGCAATCGTAGCTCTCAAAAGCTGCTTTCCAACTCTGATCAAGTCAATGACTCGTCCTTTAGATTAGTGATCATATAATCCTCTGTTCTTCAAGATACCGTGTGGAAAAAGACATGGAATAAAGTCATACTCATTGTCTAACAGTTTGTTTCCCGATTTCTGATTTGTTTGACATAGAACTTAATTAAACACATCAATTGAGTCATGACCGGGCCCGACACATAAGTCAAAACAAAATCATCGAGGGGCCCAAGATATCGCTTTTAATCCTCTTAGGATAAAAGGAACAGATAAACTTCGACTTATATGCTTGTACTAATTACTTGTTAAATTATACACAACAACACGTTTTATAACATCAAGTTACTGATGCGTTTTCGTAGTGTCAATGCACAACCAACTCGTAATCAACAACTCATATATCTTGGTTTGAAGACTATATGATATTAGCATCTCACAATCACTCGAGATGAATTCCATGAAGTGATTCATATGAGCGTGGGTTTAATCCAATACTCAAATTCTTATTTCCAGAGTACTCATGAGCGTTGCAGCAAACCTTTGCTATGTCTAAACACCTTAGACAATCTACAAGCCAATTCATGACAGTCTAACCTCATAGCTTACTTCCAAAGTATGATTGATTGTGAATGGTTTGAATAATCATATTATTCTGGAAGTCAAAACATGAGAAAGGTGAAATATAAAATAACTAATTGACAGAAGATAGTAAACTTTACATATAAATAAAACCCTTATTATTTAATCATCAAATGTCAATTACATTTATTTATTACAAATTTCTAACTGCCTATCTAATCACTAAACCTAATATCGTCCCTTAGGCCAATGCTCTTAGCATGCTACAAAGGCTTAACCCTACTCAGTCCCTTCGTAAGGGGATCTGTTGGGTTATCCTCTGACGATACCCTCTTCACTACGAGGATTCCCTCTTCTACTCGATGTCTTATGAAGTGATATTTTCAATCGATGTGCCTGGATCTGCCATGATCCCTTGGTTCCTTGGTTAAGGTGACCGCACCCTCGTTGTCACAGAAAATTTCCATAGGCTCCTTTACAGCTGGTACAACTCCAAGGTATCCGATGAAGTTCTTTAGCCATATTGCCTACTTTGAAGCTTCGCTTGCTGCTATGTACTCTGATTCTCACGTTGAATCAGCTACAGTCTCCTGTTTGGAACTTTTCCATGTTACTGCTCCTCCATTTAGGGTAAATACCCAGCCCGACTGAGAGCAGAAATTATCTTTGTCGGTCTGAAAGCTGACGTCACTATACCCTGTTACTCTAGAGTCATCACTCCCACCGAGGGTAAGGACCCAGTCCTTAGTCCTCCGCAGGTACATAAGAATGTTCTTTACTGCTATCCAGTGAGTTCTACCAGGATTCCCTTGATATCAACTAAGCATGCTCAAAGCAAAAGCCACATCAGGGCGAGTACATTTCATAGCATACATGATCGAGCCAACGGTGCAAGCATATGGTACTCGACTCATTTCTGCTATTTCAGCATCGGTACTCAGACTCTTAGTCTTACTCAGTTTGGTATTGCTCTGGATAGGTAATTCTCCTTTCTTGAAATTCTCCATGTTGAAACGTTTCAACACCTTGTCCAAGTAGGTACTTTGACTAAGTCCTATTAGTCTTTTACTCCTATTTCTCAATATACTTATCCCTACAATGTAAGCAGCTTCCCCTAGGTCCTTCATAGCGAAACACTTCCCAAGCCAGGACTTAACTTCCTGCAAGGTTGGAACGTTGTTTCCTATGAGTAGTATGTCATCCACATACAATACCAGAAACCTAACTATACTCCCACTAGCCTTGACATATACGCAGGACTCATCCGCGCTTCTCAAAAAACCAAACTCTTTGACTTTCTCATCGAAACAAAGATTCCATTTGCGATATGCTTGCTTTAATCCATAAATGGATTTCTCAAGCTACTTCGCATCCACAAAACCCTATGGCTGACTTATGAAATCATCTTCAGCAAACTTCCCATTAAGGAAAGCGGTTTTGACATCCATCTGCCATATTTCATAATCATGAAACGCAACTATGGCTAGCATAACCCTTATAGATTTGATCTTCACTACTGGTGAAAAGGTCTCGTCATAGTCAACTCCAGGAGTTTGAGTAAAGCCCTTCGCAACCAACCGTTCCTTTATGTGTGTACTTTCCCATCCATGTCGGTCTTCTTCTTGAAGATCCATTTGCACCGGCCCGTCTTACGACCTGGTACATTGTCAACCAAGTTCCAAACTTGATTGTCATACATAGACTGAATCTCGTTGTCCATCGCCTCTTTCCACTTTGCAGATTCTTGGCCCGCCATGGCTTCCTTGTAGTTGTTAGGTTCATCCAAATTTATCAGTGTGCTATCACTGATAAACGTATCACCTTCACTTGTTATATAAAAACCATATAACACAGGTGGAACACTAACTCTACTAGAACGTCTTAGAGGTAAGGACTGGTCAACTGGTTCAACAGGAGTCTCATCCTCAGGTTGAGTGCTAGTGTTAGATGTTCCTTCATCGTTTAACTCTTGAAGCTCTTCAAGGTCAATTTTCCTCCTACTATCCTCTTGGCATATGAGTTCTCTTTCATGAAAGACACCCATTCGTTCTACGAAGACCACGTTCTTAATAGGTATATAGAACAAATATCCAAAGGATTTATGTAGGTAGCCGATGAAAATACAACGCTCACTACGAGGTTCGAGCTTGTCGTGAGTCTCTCATCTTACAAAAGGCTCGCAACCCCAAACCTTGATATGTGCTAACGAGGGAACATTCCCTGTCCACATCTCGTGAGGTGTTTTGGAAACCTTCTTAGTTGGGACTAGATTAAGGATATGGGCGGAAGTCTCTAAGGCATACCCCCAGAATGATATAGGTAACGAAGCTCGACTTATCATGGAACGAATCATATCCAACAAGGTTCGATTGCGCCTCTCAGCCACACCATTAAGTTGCGGTGTCCTAGGTGGCGTCAATTATGAAACAATTCCACATTCCTTAAGATAGTCGTGGAACTCAATACTAAGATACTCACCACCTCGATCAGATCGGAGCATCTTTATTTTCCTGCCCGATTGATTTTCCACTTCTTGCTTAAACTCTTTGAACTTTCCAAATGTTTCCGACTTGTGCTTGATTAAGTAGATATACCCATATCTGTTATAATCGTCGGTAAAGGTTACATAGAAGCGGTTAGCATCCCTTGTGGTGGATCTGAATGGCCCACACACATCAGTGTGTATGAGATCCAACAAACCCTCACCTCTTTCACAAGTACCAGTGAAAGGTGACTTGGTCATCTTTCCAAGCAAACAATATTCGCACGTGTCATCCGACTTTAAGTCAAATGACTCCAACACTCCATCCTTTTAGAGTTGGGCTATGCGCTTCTTGTTGACATGTCCAAGACGACAATGCCACAAGCCTTCCTTGTCCAAACCATTGGACGAATCAATATGCAATACATTATTTCCTAAGTTGTCTACAACCATCACAGTTTCATATACACCATTACAAGGCAATGCTTCAAAATAAAACTTATCATTATAAAAAGCATTAATAGAACCAATTTCATTGTTAAATGAAAATGTAAAACCTTGTTTATACAAACCATGAAAATAAATAACGTTTCTCGCCATATCATCTGAATAGCAACAATTATTCAAATCTAGCCATAACCCATTACTAAGCAATAAGGAATAAACTCTAATCTTGGTGACAGGCGACGCTTTCCTATTCCCCATCATGAAGTTCATCTTCTCGTGCTCCACATACCTACTTCTTTTTAGACCCTACAAATCAGAACAAATGTGAAAACCACATCCTGTATCAAGGACCCAAGAATTAGCATGTGATGAGTTGTTAGATTGAATAGTGTAAATACCTGCTAAGGTGGGCTTTATCTTCCCATCCTTGATGTCTTGCAAGTATTTAGGGCAGCTTTGTTTCCAATGCCCCTTTTCATGACAATGTAATCACTCTGCTTCCTTTAGGTTGGATGAGGGAGTAGCAGAACCACCTTTGGATCCACTAGAAGAGGATCCATCTGCGAGACTTTCCCTTGTGATTCTTTGAAGGAGCTTTCCTTTTCTTCCCTTTACCATGTCCAATTTTCAGGACTGGGGCAGTAATAGTAGGAGTGGGCACAACAGACTTGCCTTTCAAACTACTTTCAGCAGTTCTCAGAAGGCCTTGAAGCTTGCTTAGAGTGACTTCCTCCTTGTTCATATGATAAGGCATTCGAAACTGATCATAACAAGAAGGTAAAGAGTGTAGGATAATGTCAATAGCCAACTCTTCGCCGAAATTGACATTCAACTTAAGCAAGCGGTCCACATATCTTTGCATCTTTTTTAAATGGGTCGTGATGGACTCTCCATCCTTCATCTTTGTTGTTATCATGGAGGCAATAATCTCATACCTTTCTTGACAAGCACTCTGATGGTACCTTTCCATCAAGTCTTGGTGCATCTCGAAAGGCCAAAAGTCCTCGTAGGACTTCTGAAGCTCAAAAGTCATAGTGGCTAGCATGATGCACGACACCTTTGTCGCGTCCTTCTCATGAGCCCTATACTCAGCCAGTTGCTCAGGAGTAGCAGTTTCTTCATCAATCTCCTTTAGGTCTTTATCGAGGACATATTCTTTTTCCTCGTATCGAATGGCCATACGAATGTTACGAATCCAATCGTTAAAGTTTGAGCCATCGAAGATTACCCTCCCACATAAGTTCATGAGGGAAAAAAAGCCACAAGAGTTGGAGTCAGAAGCGTTGTTTGAAGTAGACATCTGAAAAAGAAGAAAAAGTTTTACTAGATATAAATTCTTTAATATAACACCCAAATGAAATATTAAGGCTAGGACCCAAACACATTAATTCACAACTTAGAAACGGGATGTCGTAATCTAATTGTAAATTATTTGAAGGGGGGAAATGACTATTTACCAATTTTCACCACCCAAAACCAAAATTTAAAAGAATTAAGTTTTATGAAAATCCTAGATCTTTGAGATTCATTGAACCTTTTCAATGGCATGTTTAATCTCGATTATCCCCTTCAAGTTTGTGACTATGATACTGAGGATCACAAACAAGGTGTGAATAACCATGCAAATGTGCTTGGTACTCTTGATGTCCTTTATCACCTAATCAATGTGCCGGTTAACCACACACGCTCCATTGATCTATGACAAACATCGAGCTACCCTTTGCCACCTTTGGTAGTCCAAGTTAGTGTGCCGGTAAACCACACACGCTCCACTAACGACTTGGCAAGGTGCAAAGTGCAATTTCATGGAATAGCACCATTTTCACATTTTTTCCTAAAGTAACTAAGATTAGGAATTTAGAAAAGTGTTTAGTTACTTCTTATAATTATCATTATACTTTTAAATGAAAATTAATGTCCTATCCTACCCGTTCGGCTAATGACCCTCCACTAGTCAAGGAAGCGGTGGGTGAGAGTGGACACCCATTCAGTCGCCATTTTATAGGCAATTTCCTTATACCCCCCTTATAGACCAGCTTTGTGAATGAGGCCTACTAACGGTAAGACTAACTGTCTTATACATATATATAAGTATTAAGCTTTTAATATTATAATAGTATAAGGGTTATTTTACACTTTTAAAACTCTAGGGTTTAGAATTTAAACATTTCAAAATTAAAACTTTTTAATCAACCTTTTTTTAAATTCCAAAACTTGAGAGCAAGTTTTGAAACTTTTCAAAACTCTTGGATCAATTTGATAACAATTATATTAATCATACAATTAACTATATCACAAAATTGACCTAATATAATTTCACATAGCAAGATGATTCAAATCAAATTCTACAAATAATTAACATTTCACAAAATCAAATAATTATCTTAAAATTTGACAATCATCGTTCAATTGGATGAGGATAAGCATTACCTTATCAGAAAATTCAAATTTTATCATTCAAAACAGTTTGTGGTAATGATCCTAATCCAAAACTGGCCAAAAAAACTCGAAAATCTGCAAACAGGGGATCCTACTCGTCGAGTTCATGGCATGGACTCGACGAGTTCATCACATGTGATCCAACTCGTCGAATTCCCTTATGGGACTCGACGAGTCCAACAGTCAGTGGCCAAAAATGACATTTTTCAGCTTTAAAAATCAAATAATTGCATCAATATAACAGAAAACACCCTAGGCTCTGATACCACTGAAGGGTTTTGAGCACTATAACAATCCTATGGTGCACATACAACCCTAGATGCTTTGGATCTAATTTTTCTCAAGTTATACATGCAATATCATTTCATCCAAAGCATACACCCTAGCTAGCATGCAATTTGAGATATACAACATAAAAAACTAATTAGATGAATACCTCTTTGTTGTGGCTTGTAGAACCTTTCCTTTCAAGAGCTAAGCACCTCAAATGTGATGCCTCAAATGTGTCACAAACACCAAATGCAAAAGGAGGCTTATGAGAGAGGTTAGGAATCACCAAAAATCGGATAGGGTTTGCTTCTAAGAAGAGTTGGCCGATTTTAGGGTGCTTAGGGGTTACTTTTATAGTGTGGAATTCCTAGGGTTTCATACATGTAAACCCTAATTCACCATGACTCTTCATATTTGATGGCCCTTTAGACTAAACCCTAATGGACTCTCATATAGGTCTAGTTTATGCCTAGTCAACATGGATCATTAGCCCAAACTATAAGTATCACTGATTTACCAAATCAGTCCCTGTAAATTTAATCAGTCTCTTTTGATCACTAAATTAATTCCAAATTAATTCTTGATCAATACCAATTAAATAATATGATTTCTCAGTTAATATATTATTCATATAATATATTAATAAACCACAAATAACCTCTTTAATACCCATCCTATCAAAATTGCTCCGGTGAAGGCAACCCAAAAGCACCATGCTACTATCGGGTCAAGTACATACCAATTATAGTTATGGGCTTAGACACCTAATCCAACAATTTATTGATCCACAAATTACTTCACGTGCTTTGATCAGTTGTCTGAGTTGCTCAGCTCTATTTCTAACTTGGAATCCCAGTTTCCCCAACATCAGTTATCTTAGCTACTTCCATGGAAGTGGAGTTGGAATCCACCGACTGACTTTGAGAGATTGAAGGTATTGGCTATTGAGGAGGCATCACAACATGAGGACCATTGTTTCAAGGGTTGGAAGAAAGATTCAGAGTAGAAGGGGGATTCGTTTGCTGAACAGGTGAGAGCGACCTGGATCCATAACTAGAAAGTTTTGATTGGAGAAGTGAGTTAGAGCGAGTAGGAACGTGATTAAGATCCAGCGATTTGGTGGGCCTGGATGGATAATCCTTTTTTGTTGGAGAGATTTTAGCCCAACATCTATTATGGCCCATTGGGGAAGGAGTCCAGGGAACCATTTGCCCTAAAATTATAGGGTGTGTCGCTTCATATTACCACCAACGGTCATCAGATTTGGAGATGTGTGGTGATTTCTTGGGTACAGGAAAGAGTTGTTGAAATGGGTCTCTTCATCTTCCCGATGCTAACTCTGATCTTCACGATGCTGACTCTGATGGTTATTCGCCGGAGATGTTTCTAGTGATGTAAAGTCATCCTCCGATTGTATTGCACTTTCACTATTATTGTTGTTGTTATTGCCTACATCACCTTCGTTCAACCATGCCATATTAGGGTAATAATCATTGGCTGCAAGGACAGGGCTGATTTTAAGAGATTCAAACAAATCTTCCATGACATTGATCAAGTAGGGCATACCGTCCACTAGGATTAAAATTCCAGTGTTGATGAGACCACGGTAGGTTATGACTATTCCAACCCTTTCAAAAGCGAGATTAGGAGAGTTTTTGATGCATTCCTATAGGATAACAGCCTTTCCCTAAGTACTTGCAATGATGCTGAAAGTTTCTTCACACCAAGCATGTTGAGGAACACCCTGAATAATTAGTGATGCAATTCTTTCATTAAAGTTGCATCCTACTGATCACTGATATAAACATTTGAACCATCGCTTCAAAATCTCTACCCCTTTATTTAGGAATTCTTCTTTCTATTTTACATTAGAAAATTCAAGTAGCATTTTTAATCCCCCAAGGTAACGCATGAAAATCACTAGAAAACCCTCGACTTCCTGAAAGGCTTTCACGTTCATGAGTGCTTGGAAGTTTTTCACCTCCCCCACCAGAGTGTTCTGCATGTATTCTCTCGGCTCCGCTGATGATAACATCTTGATCATTTTCTCTTTAGATTTCCCTTCTTGTTCTGCTCTTTTGTTCATCTCCGCCCCTCCAACAACCTCAGTAAGTTCAGGTCTTGTGCCTCTTACAGCATCAGCAAAAGATTTGAAGTCTCATGTGCGTGGGTTTTCTGGCCTACTACGTTGATCTTGCGACTTGTTTCTTCCTATCAAACCTTGCTAAGTTAACACTAATCTTCAGTGCTCCAATGTAGATCTCGTTTAAATGTTTTTCAAATGCCAGAACATCTTGGATTCGAAGGAACCGGGAAAACACAAATCTCTTCTTGAGCCTATTCAATTTCTTAGCAATGTACACATCAACAACAGTCTCATATATGTTGAAAGTCCGCCATAACGCTGCTTCATCCTAACCCGATGGAAAATTTTGGAAGTAGAAAGTGATGGCTTTCCCATTGAGTTCAAATTCCTTTCCATGCCTTTTTCTTCTCTGAACTTGGTGCCAACTGTCGGTATTTTCTCTCGCTATAAAATCACCAACGATAGAGTTTTTTCGGTCTTTTAGGTTAAAGCATCGCGTAAATTGAGCGGATATTGGTTGCAATGTATGTTCAAGGACAACATATGAAGCATATATTTTGTTTTATGCGTACATTACAAAGGAAAATAAAGAAAATTAAATGCAAAGGTTTACTATTTCATTCTCTTTTAATGTAAATTGGAAGTCAACAAGGATCAAAAAGGGTAATGTTTAGTATATTATGTATTTATGGGAAAAAGGTACATTAAAGCTGCTGGAGAATTATTTTTACTTTGAAAAACTCAGACAAAGCATAGTGCATATTGGTCTACATGGTTGTTTCTTTTGCATCTCTTACCGAGAAGAGAAGCATCAATTTATATTTCTTTATTCAAAAGTTGCACATAGTAAGGGGCTGCATTTCATACATGGTGATGGGATGCATGGATGGGAACTATTGATAATTGTCTATATGTTGTTGCTATCTTGTCATTTTGGATATTTGTTGGTCACATGGGCTGAAGTGGTTACTTGTCAATGGTTATTGTTATTGTCCAATGTTTAAACGGTTTTACCATTGATTTTTGCAACGAATTTACCTAACGGTTTATTCCTTTACAAGATGATTTTTACACTAAAGATCTTGCTATTATCCAATGGTTTCTTGTTTTATTTGACGAAGACGAACCATTATCTAGTGATTTTAGCTTCATTGAAGATATTTTGTTCTACCCAGATAGAGTTTTTGTGAAGACCCTGTGCAAATGTCGAGGGGAGACCGGTGTTTAAAATCGTCATATTTTATTTTATTTTATTCAACAGTCTAAACATTTAGGTGATAATTGTTAGATATTAAAATGTTTGACAGATGAATTTTTATTTTTGACCTAGCAGTTTTAGGGTTTTTCAGATTTTAAACCCTAGGACTACAAATAGTTTAGGTTGTTTTTTATTTTTGTGTGAGCCTCCTTTTTCACTTAGATTTTCGTTTTCATCATACATAGAGAAAGTGAGAGTTCATTTTTGTTTATGTGAGGTTTCTCCATTGTAATCAGATCTGATGATCATATGAATGTAGAAATATTTCACTGATTCCCTGTTTATCTTAGATTGATTCATCTACTGTTCTTAATTTCCGCATTGTCATCTCATATTGTGTGAATCTGGAACTTCATGAATGATAGAAGAATAACTTGATCTGTACTTTTCTACATTTTTCCCCTCTGGTTCAGGTGGCCGGTCATTTGAACCATATAATTTTGCTAAGATCAAATCAAGCTTAGAATCAGACAAGGAAACCTTTTGTTGAAGCTTACATATATCAGAAGAATGAGATTACGTCTTGATATTTTTAACTTCATTGACTAGTAGTTGAACAGTTTGTTGAAGAGAAAAGATATCACCCGAGTGGTCATGGACCTTCTGAGAATTGGACTTAGAAAGATTTGCAATGTTAGAGTGCAATGAATCCAATTGACGTTGAACTTGATCACTAAATGCTTGAAAGGGAGTAGCGGAAGATGATTCTGAAGCTTTAGAGAGTTCTGCAACTGACTTTTCAAGAGTGGAAATGTATCGATCTTGAGCAGCAATATTACTCTGCAGTTGGTTTATTTTAGCTTCATAGATGGAATCCAGATTTGATAAAGATCGAAAAAAATATTCGATCTTCTAATGTATCGTAGAGAGATGATCTTCGATGGTCTTTTTAATTTTCGGATCTAGACTTTCGATCTTTCATATGTTACGAACAATTTGTCCTTTGATATACGAAGTCGTGCCATAAAAGTCTTCAATGGTGACAAACAATTTTTTCATTAGTGCTTTTGTCGTCTCATTAAGGATACACATATTGTCTGCCATATGTTCAAGATACCACTGAAATTTGTCTAGATACTTAGAATGAGAGGATGTGTGGAAGCAGATTTCCTCAATACCATCAGCTACCATCTGGGTTACTACAGTGTGCATATTGAGAACGTCCAAATCTGACTTCGTATGAGGGAGTTATGATTTTTTGAAGGTTCAGCGCAACAGTGTGCGACACAGAAATCGAAATAGAAATCGGTTGATTCTTAGCTGAAACAACCTAAACGAGAGTTGAAGATCTCGTAGATACAATTTCGTAACGACATTCGAGAACGGATGTCCTATAAAAGAGATATGAATTTTAAACGGAGTTTAGCAGTCTAAGCCTTCTATAATAATAATAAAGTGAGATTTAGTCATCGTAGTCTAAAAAAAAGTCCTAGATCTCATCAATACCTACACAATGATATAAAGAACATCGAAAACAGAGCTCGTATGAAGAAGTAATGGAATTTACTAAATCTGCAATTTGCGCTACGCGCGCTTCTAGAAGGTGGAAACACATACCACAGAGAAGCTGGCATGTGGCATAAAACGACTAGGGAGACTTCGCCTTAAATGTGTGGCGCACACCTTGAAAGGCATGGCACATATGGCCCAAATCTGCCTATAAATAGTATTTCACCCCCATTAACTTCTCCACACACTCCATACACTCTCTCTCGAATTTCCTCTCTTTCGGTCCGAAAATTTATAGTATCTAGAATATGTTGGCGAAGCCATTGAGTCTTTGAGAGCTCGACGGATAGAAGTATTTGGGTCGGGGTTCTGTCCGCGACCTTACAGACTTTTCTCAGGAAAATCTCAATAAGTTAAGTTACACTTATATAACTTTAAGTGTAACTTATATTTATATTCATAGTCATTTTTATGAATGTATAAATAAGATTTATCAGTGATTCTAACCATAATGATTGATAAAATTACGGGAGATGTGTCTAGAATGGTCATGTTGGCTTGGTTGTTGGATTTCAGAAAGGTTATATGCCGAAATGGTCCTGCCTTCTAAATTTAATGTCTGGTTGATCCTTATTTGATAGAACTCTCAGCATTCATTGGTATTAGTGAAAGATCTAACTTTCTAACAAATTTTCATAGGAATTAATAAGTTGTAGTATTATAGGTTAATTCTTGTTAGGCGTGTTACCAACCTGTTGGATCGTCAGTAGAATTGCCTAGATAGCTGTCAAGCGTCTGAATAACTGTCTAGGTGAGTTTTCTCACTATATTGTATGCTCCAACATGTATTCTTTGTATGTTAGGATATAGTTTCCCTGTAGTATGCAATTAGGTTAGTTATGTTAGTTGCATGTAGTGTTAGATTGTTTTCTTATATATATATATATATATATATATATATATATATATATATATATATATATATATATATGTGTGTGTGTGTGTGTGTGTGTGTGTGTGTTTGTGTTTTGATAAAAATCGAGAATCAAGAACCACACCGATTAACTTCTTCAGTTCTAAAACAGTTTGTTTCGGTTCCACCGGTTTTTTTCTCATCCCTACTTCCCACCACGATGTTGCCCCGCCCCTATACTGTCAAGTGTGATATTTTGGATCTTTATATATAAAACTTTGAATTTTATGCTTGAAAAATTATAACTTTTATTATTAACAATAATATTTAAGTCTTATCGGTTTTCAAACCGAAGAAAAACCAAAATGTAAGCCATAAATAGAACCATAGTCTACCCATAAATATTCACGTTATACGTTTCTAAATGTTTCTGTTCTTGAAAAACGAGTTGTAAAAACCAATACAATTGAATTAAAATTTGGTTGGTTCAGATTGTATTTCAATTTACTTTGGATTATCCGGATTCATATTTTAGAAACCAAAATTAATTTGCATTCTCTTATGGCCGGAATTTTATTAGTATCATCTTGATCCTTAACCAAAAGATATTTTGAGAGCCCAATCTAATAACCACATGATGCAATCAGCAATTCCTTCTCCGACATACGTGACAAAGCGGTGCTAGCATATATAAAGGTGTCTCCTAAGACCCACCTAAATTTTAAATTTTATTTAGTATTTATATAAGAAAACATTTATGACCTACCATGAAAAAAAATTTAGACATATATTATAGTATTAGGCAAAATAAGAAACAAATAAGTAAAAGATGTGGAAGGTTTATACTTAAATTTGCAAAACAAATGGTTAATGTTTATCAAAACATATCCCACGACAGTGGCAAAAGAGAAAGAGACGTGGTTGTTTAATCTTATAAAATGGAATGGTGAAAAGGTATTAGGAAACTTGAAATGCAACACAACTTCTCGCACCTAGTTGTTCCATACTAATAAATGAAAATCTTTTTGCCACATGTCACATTTTCATGCATTTTGACACATGTAATTTTGTGGTTAATTCTTAGAAATTAATTTCCACTTGTCATTTTGTGGTAATTTTTGATTTTCTAAATTAACTATCTAATTTTTAGGTTATAGAAAGTAATTAATGTGTCATTAATTTGTTTCCTTATATTTTCAAATTTTAATATGTTTCCTTCAATAGATATAATTCAAAGTTGGAATGTTTCTTTCAAAATTCATTGTCATTTTATACAAAGTAGTCTACATAGAAAAAATAATTAAATTTTGTTTCTTTTTATTGACAAACTAAAAAAAGGTTATATGGTCAAAATATAATTATTTTTTTGTAGTTTGTTTT